TGTCAATTTCTATGTACTGCCCTCCTTATGTATGTTATCAAACTCATTCAGAAATATCTAAACTGTCAGTTCTATACAAGCACTTCATCAGATCAATGGTTAAAAATGGCTTTCAAGAAGTGAAACCTGTAGGTCTCAGTGAGGATCATCTTTCTTCAAATCTCTCATGGACTGGCACAACAACAAAATCACAATGAAAGAACTTTACCAAATAAGAGAAACCACATAAATTGAGGATATTCAGTCAAAGCCACAACATAAATGGAAAGCAAAAACCTAACAAATTGATATAAATGAATGGCAGAAGAGAGTATAGGATAGAAAAAGTACAAACATTGTTTAAAGCTACAAAGGGAAGGAAGTTGTGAAGAGCCATGCTTGCCCACCTCCTGATTGGGTATGGCACAGCAAAGAAGAAAATTCTGAGAAACCTCTTCTTTCATTGAATAGCATAGATGAAAGAAAATTGATTTTAAATTATCAGTAAAGCTTCTTCCTTCAGCAATCAGTCATAAACTTTTAAATCCTTGAAACCTGTGCTATACGTGTAAATGTCATTTTATCTCTAAGACAAAAGTAGTCACCAGACAAAGTGATTTATTACAGTTTTGAATGATGACTCAAAGTATGACTTTTAGTAATCTTAAATGGACAGCTATTACAGTCAATGTTATAAATACTGATCTCATGAACAATTTTCCTGTCTATATATCTTCTTGCCCAATCAATTGTCAGAAGAGTGACCATAGTACAATGGAAATGGTCATGCCCCTGTCAGCCTCAATATGAATCTTTGCCCAAAATGACAACAGGTTTTATGCCTGTTTCTCTTTTATCTATATCATCCATTTCTTGTATTATGAGTCCTCAAACCATAACATTAATAATCCTTATACTTTTCAATGACAATGTTTCATCTGATATGCTTCTCTTCATAGTTTCTTCTTTTACCATTTGCATATTAAAAGATATGAGACTGACCATTCAGACATATTCACCAAGGTTTTATGCCTTGGCCAATTATGCAAAGGTGCATGAAGGACTGGATTCATTGTTTTCCTAAGAGCCTAGGGAGAGTGAACATCAAATGCTTGACTTTGAATTTGAACTTGGTTTCCTGATTCTATTTTCTATATTGATTATTGATTTTATGCTACTAAGAACAGAGTGAGTTTGTTAAAGATACTGGAAAAGGAAATGCAATGTTTATCCTCAGAATGATGTCAGAAAAGAGCAAAAGTGTTTGACAAAGTATGTCACAAAGAACTGTTGTAACTGCTAGGTAAACTTGACATATTTGGGAAAGATATTAGAATGATCCAGAACCCATACTGGTAGCAAAATTAATTCAGTAAATATACAAAAATAGAAAGAAATGTAAGACAAGGATGTATTTTCTTATTCAACTTATAGAGAGACATGATTCTGAGAGACCTACCAGGATTCATTATTGGTTGTCACAATCTTAACAATATAAGATATGCAGATGACACAGAGTTGATAGTAGAGACAGAAAGGAAACTACATTAACTCCTACAGAAGGTGGTTAAGGATCTTCAAGAAGAAAAGGTTAAACATCAATTGGAAGAATATAGAATGCATGGTTGTTAGCAAAATGAACGGCCTAACATTCAAATTACAAATTGGAGATACCAAAATCAAACAAGTACAACAATTTAAATCTGGGAAGTGTTTTAATAAATGGCAGAAAGTTCAATACTGAAATACAAAGACACATTTGGATAGAGAAAATGCCTTCCAAAAGCTTAGAAAAGTAACAAGAAATAGAAAAATTTTATTAGAAACAAAGAAAAGAGTACTGAACTGTCATGTAATATCAGCCCTCTTATATGGCAGTGAATGCTGGACAATGTCCTCACTGATGAAGAAGAGACTTGAAGCAGCAGAAATGTGATTCTACAAAAAGATGCTGAGAATAATATGGGCCAAATACATGAGTAACAACAACATTTTATAGAAAATGGAAAAAAACGGTCACTTATATTTAACATCAGGAAGAGATAGTCGAAATTTCTAGGGCACATAATGAGGAAAAAGGGCTTATGAAAATTGATGCTCACAGGTCACATTGAAGGCAAGAGAGAGAAAAATAACGTATAACCTATCTAGAGAGCTTGAGTAAACAGATGGTGGAACAACATTTAAGAGAGATGACAAAAAGACAAAGGTTGGGAAATTGTGACAAGCCATGAGAGTCAATGTTCCAAATGAACATATCTTATAGAAGAAGATACATGTATTCTATTGGAAATTGCTTATCATGTAGAGAGAGCAAGCATGGTTATGCAGAATTGACAAAAGTCTCAGTAACAATCAGAAGAGGAAGAAGAAGAGGGCAAATGTAGCAAATCAGTGTAATGCAAAGTAACTAGAAGACAGTAACAAAGTAAAAATTGCCCAAAATAGGAATAGTGTTCTCTTATAAAAGGGAAACAGTCAAGTGGTTATGGTATTTTGACTTCAAGGCAAGAAAAAATGTGTTGATAAGAGCAATAATTATTTATACTGTTTACATGCCAACTATTATCTTCATCTTTGTTATTGTTATCACAGCATTTTGGCTGTTGTGCCATCTGGCTTTCATCAGGTGTAAAAGCAGGAAAACCCACAGAGAATTTCAAATGAATACTTTGGGAATAGATTGTTCTTGTTCCTCTGTCCATGTCTAAGGATATCTCATCCAGTCCTTATTTTAGTACTGCTCAGTTATTGCTTTTCTCATTTCCACTGAGTCCCAGTATACTGCTCTGCCCTGGGACTGAATTCAGAATTACTATGAACTAATGTTTTAATTCACTAGGCTAGTGTGTACTTTGACTGTCAAAATAGAGTGAGATGATTGACCAGTAATAAATAAGAATTAGACAAGATATCCCCCCCCCGACTCATCATGTTCAGATTTTATATGAATGCTTTCTTGAATACTTAATTTTTAACCTCTTCAAGTCATCGACCAGTTGTTATCTATCTTCCTTATCTTCATAATCTCTGTCACTTCTTTCATTCATATGAGATCTTATTCATTCCTACTGTTTCATCCAAAGAATTTGAATTTGCAGATGACTCCAAATGATGACACACTTTAATTAATGCATATTAATAATAGAAAGAAAGAAAAAAAATGAAAATAGAGAGAGTTGAAAAGGATGTTATGTAAGCATACAAATATGATAAACAGAAAAACAATGTTTTAACGACTTCTGTTCAGATACTTTGAAAAACTGTTTTAATACCTTCCAATGTAAAAACTTCATTTACCTTAAGTCTCAGGTGAAAGACTTGGCAAAGGATTCTAGCAAACTACAAATAAAAAACAACAATAACAATATCATGGAATCATATATTGCTTTTAGATATGTACATAAAATAACTTTTGTAAAAACAAAAATAAACTTTATACACTTTAATATATACTTAGAATTAAGTAAGAAAATCTATCGGAGAAAAAAAAGACATTCCAAATCAAAAACGAAAAAGGATTTTTTTTTTCTATGTTAAACAAAATTCTGTAAAATAGATGAATTCCAGAATAGTTGTAATAACCAGAGAAATAGTGTACATTTCTCTGACTTGTGACTAACTTAAACTTTTATCCTGAATAAAAATGAACTGAGCTAAATTTTTATGAATAACAACACTGGTCTCTGCAAATTTAGTAAAGAGTTTCTATTAGTGGGGACAAAATTTTCCTTATTCTGTGGGAATGCTTATCTAGTGGTATACCTTTTTAAAATGATATCATTCATGAAATCCTTTTTCCTTGGCTGAAGTAGTTGTCATAGAGATTTGTCACTGATATCTATGTTAATGAAAAGTTTCTGATGTTGAGCATCATTGGATTTACTGATTTATTTCAGAAGAACACCTTTCAAGGCATTGTATAGGTTAATGAGATGGGCGTTTTCTAAAATCTCATTGACCTCATTCACTACATCTTCTAGGAATGCTTCTACAACATACATGTACTTGTTGATGCAACCCAATCCTGGGGTTGCATCTGTTGAACAGTACATGCTTTATATGTGAGACAGTGATAAGTTGTTCTTCACCATCAGTTTCTGCCATCTTGTGTATTTAACAAAAGTTCATTAGTTGACAATCAGAAAGGTATGTTTCCACTGTCAAAATGCAGAGTTTGTTGTCGTTTTTCTGGAATTATGTGAGTTGGGGGTCATCAGTTTTGGTAGGACAGTTGCCAAGTTTTAACTGAGCTGATGGTTTTAAATAGTAGATGGCCATTAGCTTTTGCCTGCATCATGGACATCCAGTAAATTTAAGAAATAGGCCTTTTTAAGGATTTTGGATATTTGTAATTAAATGACAAAATAGAAAAATAAATTACATTGACATATAACAAATTTACTTACATACATTATTTGCTTTTAAGAAATTAGACTGTTGAATAAAGAAAAATGTAGTATTAAGATTCATGTAGTAATGTTCCTTTCTTTTTTGTTTAACAAAGAAAATATATTTTGAGGTTGAGTTTTGGAGTTAAATTGAAAGTAAGAAAGAGAAATAGGATATGAATGAAGGTCAAATTGGAAAAAAAAGTTCCTTCTTACTATTATTATCTCTCAATTGTATCAGTTTTCTTTGATGTTGGATAGTATCAGGATTTTTCTTGTTATTGTAGTAAGAGAAGTACTTGTAAGCTCATAAAAATGATGCGACTGTTGACTTCTGTAATGGTCTGAATCAGTCTGTGTATTGCTCTGCTATTTAATCAAATGAATAGCTTCCATAAAAGTAGATTGGATAGATCTATTTCTTTTTAAAACTTTTCATAGACAGGAAAAAATAATTACCAACAATTTTGAATATTGTATAGAACTGGAAATCATTTTTTGAGGTGTCTGTGTTGGTTTTTAATTTTATATGTTAAAAGAAATCAGAAGGAAAACTTCTACTAGGATATTTAAAGGGAGCTTCAAGAAACCACTATATATGATGACACAAAATCTATATTTTTCTCCAAATGGCTATATCAGATAGAAACACAGTTTCTTGTATGATCACCAAAGTTATACACCATTGTGCCTGGTTAGTATCTTGATGGGTAACCACTTGGGAATACCAGGTGCTGTACGATTGGATATTCAAGTTGTGTAATGTATAACAGCTTGAAATTGGAAAGCCAAGTCCCATTTCTAGTCAGGTTTATTATATTCACTTATGAACAAATACCCTTAGGAAAGGTATGAAGCCACCTATTCTTCCCCCACCTATGGGTTAATTAGTAGGACTTGTATCAGTAAATCATTATTATTTCCCAGAAAAAAATTCTTAAAATCTAAAACTCTTTAAATAACCTGCAAAGGGTTGATAAACCTTAAGAAACAAAACAATCAAAAATTATTTCATAAAATCTCTCCGAGCTTTACGTGCGTAATTGTGAAATCTTATATGCTAATGTTTGCTATCAATATGGTATATCACCTAACTCTAAAATATTGTAATGTTATTTACTAAAATATCATCTTTATTATTAAAATTAGTATTTTTCTTAATAATCTCTGCTCAAATGAGCAGGTCTATATACTACATAGATGCAGTAGTTTATCAACCCAGCTAGAAGTTGGGAGCCTATGATTAAAACATGATGAATTTCACTTTTATTTCTGGCTTAGTTAAAATATTCTTTGAAAATATCTGATATCATTCTATCCTACCAAAAAAGTAAAAAATAAAATAAAAGGGAATTTTTTTTTAAAATTTGTTTTAATTTTTGTACATCAGCCAAATTTGGATTTCTATTTTGAAGAGAAAGGTCAGTTGATTTCCTCCCAAAGAACACAATTGAATTAACCAATTTAGGAAAGTACTTGTATAAAAGATTGATTGTTCAGAAGTAATGTTTAAAACAAGCACAAAGTGCAGGACACAGTTTATCACAATAGACAACAGATAACAAATTGCTAATACATCATTGCTAGGAATTCCTATCTCCAGACTCTTATCATCTTTCTCATCTTTTTATGAACTAATATTTCAAACATTGCATAAACTAGTCATGGTGAAACTGGCTGATATATCATTGTCCAGAATTTATTTGATGTATTCTATTCATTCTTATCATTTTGTGCATCAACACTTAAAACGGGGTCTACATTATAATGATCCAAATTCTGCTTGTTACTTTAACACAGCAAAAATGGCACATCATAGTGAGACCCTTTTTAGGGCAATTCCCTTAAAATGTTCTAACTTCAAGAATAAAATATTTTCTAGTCCGTTATGCAACTTAATAATAATAGTGTTGGATCTGCATTCAGGTTCACCATGATAATAATGATCTAATCTTTGTATACTTGTTACAAAAGCAGAAAAGGAAATCATGCCACTATTGAAAGAGGAAAAAATTAAAATGATTTCCAGTCCAATCTGCAACTTAATAATAATAGTGTGGGGTCTGCATTCATGCTCACCCTGGTAATAATGATTCGATTTTTGTATATTTGATACAAAAGCTAAAAAGAAAATCATATAAACATGGAAAGAGGAAAATAAATAAATTTAAAATAATGAAACATGTATTATGTAAAAATATTGTACCTTTATCAAATTATTTTACAAAATAAAAGTTATTTTATATGTATCATTATTTTATTCAACAATTGGTAATCTTTTCTTTTCTTCTATCATAAACACTTGGACATTTTATTGTGAAACAAATTTACTAAATTGTAAGTATATATACAGGGTACGATGGATAAATTGTCGTCTAAATTATGAAAAAAAAAATTAAAAAAATAAAACAATGAAAATAATACTGACATCTCATTTTAACAGATATATTTAGCAAGCTTACAGAAAAATACCTTGAAATACTAAAGAGTGAATTTATTCAATAAAATCACCATTGGCTTAATCAACCACTTCCAGATAACTTCAGAATCTCCTAATTTCTCCTTATTTAAGTTGCTGAATGCTACCATAATCCGAGTCTCCAGTTCATCTTTGGTATTGCAGGGAGTTTTGTTGGTCTCTCGCTCAACTATGCCCCACACATAATAATCAAGGAGATTGTAGTCTGGGGAGTTAGGTGGCCAGATGTAAGGAGTGATGTGGCTGCAGAAATTATCTGAAAGTTATGACTGGATTCTCCTGTTTGTGTGACATGGTGTAGAGTTCTGTTGCCAGACATAGGGTCTTCCAGCAGCCACCCTCTTGAGCCAGGGTAGCACTTCTTCTTCAAGGCATGATGTAGGCCTCCATGTTGAGTCTGAGGCCCTCACCAACAAATTCGAGAGTTCTTTTCTTATCAGAATGATCAAAGTGAGTTTTCTGAGGTGCCATACCTTCATACTCACCATTACTCATCCAACTTTTTCCAAATCCTATGCACTATCCTCAGATTGATACCCAGACACTCTAAAATGTTCGTATTGGAACTTACCGGGTGAATACCAAGTAATACAGCATGACACTTCCAAATTCCTGACAGGGTGATTTGTGACATGGTGCTCTTTTACTCACAGTGCCTGACTGACCCTATTATACTGTGCAGTTGACAAAATCAAAAACAAACAACGCACATATATGAAATTAAAACTATAAAATAGCAACAACTTAGGCATTGCACCCTATATATATTTATAAGTAACTGTACTCAAAATTTGAGTAATGCTTAAGCAAATCTATGACTAAGTACTAATTTTTTGCAGAATTTAAGCCATCCAAGTACAGGTTAAAATCCTAAGTTTCTTATAAAAAATTGTGTATTGTCAAAAAGCATTTAATAACTACACTCCTGCTTTTTTAGTAAAAGTTTCAGCTTAATTTAAAATTTTAAATGTAGTTGGAGTTTGGCTAATTACAGAGTAGTCTCCACATATTTATTTATTTGCAAATAAATCTAATATAAAATCTTAAAATTAGAAATGACCTGACATCAAGTTCAAGGGTCACCTTTGGCAGACTTTATTATTTAGACTGTCCTTATTTGTATAATAATGTAATATGTCACTTTGCCTTTGAGTATGTTTATAAACCCAAATTAGTCCCTTAAATCAAGTACATAGGTGAGTAAAGCACTTTAACTGAAAGGATAAGAAGAAATGTTGCAGTTAAAGTGTGCTCTCATATGACTGTCTGTTTGTGTAAATGAATTAGAAGCTAACCTGAATACATTTGACTAAGTCATTAGCTATATGTGATATTATTTATTTAAAAATTATAACATAAGTATGTTATAACATTACTACAAAAATAGCCATTTTGTTTCAACACTTCTGGTGTCTTGTCAAGTGATGGTGTTGCAAGTAAAATAATTTAAAGAGTTCAAAAACCAACCACTACCCCCACTAGGGTAAATATTTTTGTGTAAGATGTAATGGCTAATCAAATTACAAGTATATGATAATTCAAATAACTCGACAACGGACCCTAGATAAAATCTATTAATGCTTTAAAATAAGTATTAGATTTTATAGGAAATCAGGATAAACAATTAATCTTCAATTTATTATGTAATTAAAAAATAAATGTTACGTATATTAAACCCTAAATGTAACCATGCATCATGTTTAAAAAGTAACAAAATTATTCAAAGAAAACAACAGAGAAAATATGTCTAAACTTTCATGTATTGTTCTTAGAAATAGGTAAATCTTTTGTCCGAATCTGAGCGGTAGTAAGAGTTACAATATACGGCTACAGAGTCAGTTACATTGACGATATTTAGTCACCCCCCACCCCCCCACGAGGGTGTCATGTGGCACAAGGCCTTTTTAACGTGGGCATTCCCGAGCCATTAGGCCTGGCCAAAAAATAGCCCATTCGAACCCATATAAACGGGTTCAGGGCCGGTTTAACTTGCCTGAAGGAGACTCCGCCCTTCGGCGTAACCTCCTTCAGGTTCCTCCCGCCCGTAGGAAGGGAGTTGAACCAAACAGTCGCACCAGAAAGTGAGCGAGTGATGTCGCTCGGTGTGACATTGACAGGGTCGTGATGATAGATTTAATGGTCAAGGGAGAAAGGGTTTATTTGTGACTAGACATACAGACATCACAAAGTCAATATGCAAATACATAAATATATATAGACATACCTACATACAGACATATATAAATATGTATCTGTCTATATTTCTGAGATGAGGTATTATGTACATTATTTACATTATTCGGACTATTGTCCTCATCTTTGTTGCCATATTTATTACAATATTTTGCCCGTTGTACGCTCTGGCCTTCTTCAGGTGGTTGGAACTTAACACTTTATTTCACTCACTGGGATGGACTGTTCTAGTTCCACGTGCCATGTTTAATGAATGTCAGTTATCAGTTATCTCCTTTTAATTTCACTGTGAAAGTTCTCCACTGCCTTAACCGAGTATTGAACTCACACTTAAGGACACATGGCACAGTGCATAAAGGCGTTGGTTAGATCCAGTGACAGGACACAAAGAGTATGAGTTCAATACCCAGTTAAGACAGTGGAGAACTTTCAGAGGGAAATTAACAGGAGATAACTGATAACTGGCATCCATTAAACATGGCACGTGGAACTAGAAGTGAGCGAAATAAAGGGTTAAGTTCGACATTCCTCCCACCTGAAGAAGGCCAGAGTGTACAGCGGCCGAAACGTTGTAATAAATATGGCAACAAAGATGCGGACAAGAGTTCGAATAATGTAAATAATATATATAAATACATATGCAAAATGCAGAAACACATACATACATACAAACATGCACACACATATATATATTCTTCTAAATTAAGAAATATGAAATATGAAATTAAGGTACCAGTAGACGCAACATATATTAGTTACATCAAAGCATGCAAAAGCATATATAAACAATATAGATATACACAATTGCACAACAGTAAAAAATATTAAAAAAATACATACATACATATATATATATATATATATATAAAAACCAATGGACATGAACACCTGTATACTAACAGATATAAGTGAACATAAAAGAACAAGCACATAAAATACAAACATAAAAGAACAAGCATCTAGAAAAGTACGCCCATATAGAACAGGAGTAGAAACAAATATACTTACATATAAACAAACATCCTTTGCGGGGAAAGCTTGTCCTGGCTTTCCAGCACCCGAGGGTT